GGACAGGCACCAAAACTACACAGACAAACCATGTCTCAAACAACAACAACAAAAAAAAACCATTCTGCTCTACTCATAGGTCAGGGTCTTGCTCAGCCATCATCAGAGAAGCTCTTTCCTGTAGTAGATGGGAACAAAAGCAGACCCACAATGGAACAAAGTGCAGATAGGAAGAGACCTTGGAATGTTCATTCCTAAATGGGATATCTCCATCAAATCCCTCTCCTCAGAGCTCAGGGAACCCTGTGGAAGAGGAGGTGGAAAGACCGTAAGAGCCAGTGGGGATAGACGATACCAATGAAACAAGGTCTTCCAGACACAACAGGACTAACACACATGTGAACTCACAGAGACTGTGGCAGCATGCACAGGGCCTACCTGTGTCTAAGTCAGATGGGGTCTCAGTGCTGAGAGGGGAAGTGGACACAAGACCCCATCCCTAACCCAGAAGCCATCTCCAGTTGATAACTGCTCACAAATGACAAATTAGTTTCCCATGGGATTGCTGTGTATGGGAATGCGTGTCTGTGTCTATATGTGTTCCTTGTGCATTTTCTTTGAATCTTTTCCTCCCAGATGTTTGCTTCATCCTATTTCAGTCTGTTTGTTTTTATTTTATCTTATTTATTATTATTATTTTTAAGATGTCTGTTTGTATTCGAGAGGGGGGGAGATATGATTTTGGTGGGAGTAGGGGATGATCTGGGAGGAGTTGAGTGAAGGGAAATCATAGTCAGATTACATTGTTTAAAAAACAATCTATTTTCAGTTTTACCAAAGGGAAATAAGTGGCGTAAGTGTGTTAAGTGGAGTTATCACAGGAGAAACAGCTCTAAAGGCAGCATTTAGTTTAACAAACAGCAGCTTTCTCATAGTGTCAATTGGACTGTGGCTCTCCTCTGAAATGCTTCCTTAGAAAAGCATCATTAGGCAAACTTGGTCAGATCATAGCCACAGTTTTTCCTGGATGAGGATGACCTGGCTATCCCTACATTCAAATACATTCTGTTTAACATGGTTACTATTTGTGGACATCAGAAGTTCAATTTCTCTTTTATTAACAAATACATGATTAAATTATTTCAAACAATAGCTATGTGATGTGATGATCCATCAAGTGAATCCAAGCCCTTCTGAGTGCTTCAAGAGATAGACTATGGCTGTTTCCTGATAACACTAGTTAACCTTTAATAGCTGGGTTAGGATACTCCTTAAGAGTGTTTACTCCATGCTAAGCTGCAAATAGGACATCTGTATCATTCCTCCTCCCCAGTGCTTCAGGATCCATTGTGAAGAAGGGACAGAAAGGTTGTACAAACCAGAGGATCAGAGTGTAACAGCATCCTTTGGACACAATCAGACTGCTGCTCTCAGGAACCCACACGGTTGTGGTTGCTTACACAAGATCAGTAGTCAGTGTCCAGCTTCCAGGTGGGAAGGATTCACTAGTGCCCACCGTTTGCTGAGGAGCCATCAACAGTTGATGGATTCTAGGGGGAAGGAATGTCAGTTTTCCTTAAGGGTGTGGTCCCTGGCAGGTGAAAGGCACTCCAGTAGATGGCCCTGCATGCATGAGTATATGAACAGCAAACTGTATCAGTAAATTGTTAAGAAAAAAAAAAGAGGACACAAAATTGGAAGGATATGAGGGCTACCAGAGCGTTCTTGAAGGCGGTGCAAGAAGAATTGGGGGCGAACAAGACAAAATGCATGTGTGAGATGATTAAAGAATTAGTAAGAATACTACATAGCATCCTTTTGTATATTAAAATACATTTGATTTGAAGTTTTACTCCAGTAATCATATGTAGCTAATGGATACCATGCCACTCAATGAGAACTTCATTTATTCCTCCCGTGAGTAAGGAGAGACTCAGGAAAGTTATCTATACAGTTCCTAAGAGGCAAAATCAAGACTAAAATTTAGACTTTGTGATTACTAAAACAATGCTGTCTGTGTGGTGTCCAGTGGTATTTCTATGTGTCTCTGTGCCTACTTAAAAGGGAGCTTAATTATATTTTAAAATGAGTAGTACATTTTTTAAAAGTACTAGTTTAAAAAAAGGTTCAACATAATAATTCATCTGGGAAATGTAAGTTAAACAGGTGATTTTAATTAACCAAATGATAATATTTGGTGTTGGTGAGTGAAATACTCTTTTCATATCCATTGAAAAGAATGATAATTATAATACAGTGTTGTAGGAAATCCATTTTATGGCAAACATGCTACTAAAACATTTCAGCTTTCTGAAATGCTAGTATATATGTAAAGAAATATGTTCAGGGGCACTAAAATAGTGTAGTGAAATCCTAGAAGCACCTACAGGTCTAGGAGTAGAAAATAAATGATAATTACCAAAAAAATTAATAAGTCTACATGTTCTCCAGTGGAATTATGTTCAAATACATTATTGATAAGGAATAAAACATAAGATACAGAAAACAGAAAAGTGCATATATAATAGTGACATTTATATAAAATGATGTGGGAAAGTTATGACTTCATATAGTTTTTTAAGAACGTGTGTAAAGACAATGGAAGAAAGTTAGTTGAAGATGGCCAATAAAAGCTGACTTCTTTTTTGTGATTTTTGTTTCCTATTTGTTGAATTTGTCTCCATTCACTGACATTCTACGTGTGAGATCCTCAAGGCAATGCTGATTTTTTAACATTACATATAAGTTAAAACACTTGATCTGAAGAACTGATTTTATTTATGCAGTCATAAACAGCTTAAATTCCTATGTGCCTTAGACATTGGGTCTTTGGTATTAAGCAGTGAACCAAACAGGTAGATTCTTGCACCTGCTAGACTTTCCCTACAGCAGATGCAGTTTAGAAATAAATGTGTTTTCTCTGTGTAGACCACTCTGACTTTCTTTCTTTTCCTTCCTTCCTTCCTTCCTTCCTTCCTTCCTTCCTTCCTTCCTTTCTCTCTCTCTTCTTTTCTTTCTTTTTTTGGGGGGAGGGTTTCCAAGACAGGGTTTTGCTGCGTAGCTTTGACCATCCTAGAACTTGCTCTGTAGACCAGACAGACCTCAAACCCATAGAGATCTGCCTGCCTCTGCCTCTGCCTCACAAGTGCTGGGATTAAAGGTGGGCGCCACCACCACTTGGCTCACTCTGCCTTTTATACTGTTCTCTTCCCCACAACTCTGATCAGCCTCCTGCTCTTCCTGACTCCCTGAAGAAGTGTAGGAAGGACTGTACAGAGGGTACATGCATAGCCCTCTACACCAGTCTCTTTGCTTCACAACCATACACAGGTGACCAAAGGATCAGGGAGAGACAGTACAATATCAGCAAAACAGACCTTCTTCAGCTGTCCCAGAAGTGTCTAAATCTTTTCTATGACAGTACCTAAGGTAGAAAGCCACCAACTTCAGAAATGACCGACTTAGCAAATGTGTTGCTTAAAGCATATGCTGTTCAAAGTTGCCGACAGCCTATGCTTAGACAACAGTCAGCTTAAATAACTGAAGCTCATAAGCTCCCGATACAAGTTCTGTGCATGATCTGTAGTTGGAATTTTTCCAGTGGCACTCCCTCTATAATAACGAAGAGAACGCCAGGCTGTTAGAATGTCCTGTGAGGCTCTTCCACCAGCTGCAACTCCAACACTGTGTTAGGGCTTCCACAGCAAGACTGCCCACACTGGGGGTTGTAGACTGAATTCACACTTCTGGGCAGCCTCTGAGAACCATTGTTTATAGTTCATAGCAGTTAAAGTCCAGTCCTAGTCTCTCAAGCCTACAAATGGAAACCCCTCAAGGCTCAGCTGCTACAACAACTTCAAACTGTCATCATCAGGAAAGACAAATGCCTGACTCAAAGAAGGAAGTAGTCTTCAAACATCCTGGTGTATCTCAGAGCAAAGAACAATACATTATTGATGATCTTTGCCACAGGGTGATGGTTCTCCACCTGTAACTTCTCACATTTGAGAACAATTCAAGCTCACACCACACCTAAATGCTCTCTGTGTGTGGAACAATGCATCATGGCACTAAAATCCAATGTCACCCCCACCTCCACAAGCTTGTGTGACATAAATCCTTATTTACTACTTTCTTTCCTATGCTCTATCTGCCTGGAATTGCTTCACTGGTCTTTCTTCCTTATCTCAACTTCTTATAAATTGCTGTTCTGTGACGTCTTCCCTGAGTTCCAAATCGGTGTCCTTTCTACTCACATCACTAATGGAGATCCCCATACACTACTATAAAATCTGTTACATAGTATCACTATTGCACACTTATTATTCAATTTATTTTAGCTTTATCATCTCATTTAGGTTGTCAGGCAACACATGATTGCTACTAGTTTAATTAACATTAATACTATGAGCATACTATGTGTAAAGCTCTATAAATACATTATCTCTTATTGTTACAAAACCTTATTAGAATATTAGTAGTGTTACTGACATTTTTATGGTTGACAAAAGTAAATGCAAGAAAGATAACAAATACGGGTTAACTGGGGGAGTTAAAATCAAGTCCTTTCTACTTTAAGGACCATGCTTTTAGCTGCTACCCTAAAATATTGCCTGTGAGTAGTAGTGGACAGCTCTCTCTCTCTCTCTCTCTCTCTCTCTCTCTCTCTCTCTCTCTCTCTCTCTCTCTCTCTAAGTGCTTGCTGAACTCAAGCTCTGTACTATGAGTGCCACACACATTAAGCTCATTTGATGCTCCCCCCCAAACTGGGACCTACGTATAGTGGTTATAATACCAATTTTTTAAAAGTGCAATTAAGTCTTAGAACTGTTAGTGATCTCCCCAAGGTCAAAGGACTGTGGATATGAATGCAAGTGAATCTCCCTGCAAAGCCTGAGTCCTAACCCACTTGTTGATTCCCTGGCTAGATGGCAGAGTGGACCTGAATCTTTGAAAACACTATATACATTTTTAAGAATAACTCCCTAGAAGAAAACTAAATCACAACCTCTTCTGAGCAATGCAAACCAACCAAACTGATCCCCTTCACCAGCACTCACCTTAGCACATGTGTGGATCCATTAATGGTTGTGGTTGAACATGGGACAGTCTGGCCCAGAATGGAGGGTCTCCTGTAGCGTTCATCATCACAGCAGAGGATGACGAGGAAGGCACGTCTAAAAGACTTATTCAGGAAGGCATAGAGAAAAGGGTTCAACCCTGAATTGATATAGCCAAGCCAGAGGAAAGCAGTCCACACCTGCTCAGGGACAGTGTAGTCTATGAAAGGGTCCACAACATTGGTGACAAAGAAGGGAGCCCAGCAGAAACAGAAGCAGCCCATGATGATGCATAATGTCTTGGCTGCCTTGGTCTCTGTCCGCATGCGATGTGTGCTGTGCTGGTCAGCTGGCTGGGGTCTGCTTTCAGGGGTGGTTCCTGCTCGTTGCAACATCTGGATCTGCTGGGCATGCTCCTTAGCAGTGACATAGATGCGGTAATAGGCCAGCACCATGAGGAGAAACGGGATGTAGAAGGCCACCACGGAGCAGGTGATGGCGTAGGGCTTGTTGACCATGAAGACACATGTATCGTTAGAGTTGTGGTTGAGTTCCCTTTTCCTTATCTGAGAGTGGGAGGGAGAGAAAAAATGAGGGTAGGAAGGTGAATGAGGAGAAAACAGTGAAGAACATGGAGAAAGTGAAAAAAAAACATGGGAAGAGAAATAATGGGAAAAGACAAGAGGAAGAAGAAGATAAAGGAACAATGCAAGAATGAGAGAAGGGGAAAGAGAAAAGAAAAAATAAGGTTTAACATAAAAATTTTATTTTCCTTACAAATCTATAGCACATAGGACTTTCAAGGTAGAAAAAGAACGGGTCCCAGAGTTCAATGAGCTTGTCTGTGTGAGGTCTTGGGGGAAAAAGGAAGGAATAATCAGTAATCATTCTCAATTCCATCCACCAATTCTTTCTTCCTTGTCTGTGTATAACATATGAATATCGCTTAATAGCATGTCTTAGTTCACTACCATCAAGTATGTTTATGATACGTGCAGAATTTGACCTTTCATATAGATCAATTTCTCAATATCTTCATTTTGGCTGCCACATTTTTAAATAATAAGTTTGTTAATGTTTGAAAACTTCCCCCTGCATCATTTGAAATCCAGATCTTTGGGGGGATGCTGGGATCTTTCCTGTTTCTTTGCTTACTGGATACACTGATGAACATTTCCTCATTTAGGAAATATAGTACTCAAATCGACATAGAGAAATGATCAAGACAGACATAGGGCTTCAGAGAAAGAAAAGGTAGATATTTCACAACCGTGGAAGACATAACACAGTAGTTGACATTTTTATGCATAGTTTTACTTTTCAAGGTTTTTGTTACTTGTGGTCAACAAGTTCTAATTTTGGATAACTAAACAATCCCTAGTTTTTAAATTATATGCCATTCTGTGTAACATTATGAAATTCTACACCATTCTCCTCTGTCTCAGGTAGGAAACGAGTCATCCCTTTGTCCAGCAATGTCTACATTATATATGTAACACAATCATTAACTGCTTAATAGCTTTCTCAGTCATTAGAATGACTATTGAGGTACTTGTATTCAAGTAGCCCTTATTTTACTTAACAATGGCCCAAAGCACAAGATTAGTGCAATTTTATGGCAACATGTAGTTGTAATTGCTCTACTTTATTTTAACTGTTGTTATTGATCTCTTTCAGTGCCTAATTTATAAGTTGAACTTTACCATACTTGTGTATAGGGAAAATATTGTATGTGTGTGTGTAGTAGCAGTAGTGGTAGTCGTAGTGGTAGTGGTAGTGGTGGTAGTAGTAGTAGTAGTAGTACTAGTAGTACTAGTAGTACTAGTAGTAGTAGTAGTACTAGTAGTACATGTAGTAGTTTCAGGAATCCCCAGGGGGTTTGGAATGTACTACCTAGTGGATAAAGGAATATTCATCCTTGCCTCCTATTTTTTTCTGAATTCATTCCACTTAGGTTTCATTTCCAGTCATTCCATTCCAACTGCCTTGGTCAAGACCTCCACAAATCTAATTCTTATTTTAAATCAGCTATTTAATGTATTGATGTATCTGAACCTCAAAGTCTTCCTTATAGATCCATATTTTATTGAAATAAAAGACTTTATACAAAATATTAAATGTGTATGGTGAATTAATTTTACAAAGTAAAGGTACATATGTAGTCATACATGTACAAATCAAAGTATAGAATATTAGTGGCATCTCTAATGCCTCACAAATTACCCTCTCAGTCATAACCATATATTTTGTTGTTACAGTCATATGGTTCCCAATTATCGTTAAATGGTTCTGCCACTAGGCTAGGAGCACTCCAGTTATTCCACATCCTAATCAGCACTTGTTATTTGTCTATACATAGCTATACCTAACTGTGGTCTTGTCTAATGTTTATTAAAAGTGTTATCCATTTTCTTCCCTCTATCTCTTCCTTCCTTCCTTCCTTCCTTCCTTCCTTCCTTCCTTCCTTCCTTCC